GTCCGGCTTTTTGGGCTTTCCCCCTGGACGGGGATTTGGAGCCCAAAAAGCCAGACATGTCCGGGAAAATCCAGACGTATGGTAACCCTAATGGTGGGAGATGGGCAGTTGCCTTATATTAATTGATGCAGCTAATCACCAGTGGTGCTTAGGAAATAGGAGGTTCTACTTCAAAGCCATTATTGTTCACCCAAGGAATACCTGCCAGGGATCTGTAACAAGAACTCTTGGGCCCTGATCCTGTTATCTCAGATCTGCTTAAGCTTCATCAGGGGAAGTTTGAGTCACAGGACTTTGGTCTCCAGCTCCAGTCTGGCTCACCCTGATATCGGACATTGTATTATAACTAAGGCTGCGAGTCTTTCACGGCTTCCATGACTTTCCGGGACCTCCGTGATTTCTGCAGCTGCAGCGGCTGGTGCGACTGCCCCCTAGGCTGCCCCCACGCCCATGAGCAGCAACGTCTGCTGGAGCGCTCCACCCCTCAGCACCTAAGATTTAGTTAGGAGTATTTTTAGTAAAAGTCACGGACAGGTCACAATAACATGGGTTATTGCCCATGACCTGTTCGTTACTTTTATTAAAAAATACCCCTGACTGAATCGTAGCCTTAATTACAATTTATGGAAATAATTCTGAAAGAACTCTTTGCAACTTTAAAGCTTATAATCTCTACTATGAAACTAAGAATTTTATTTATATCTGTATGTATAATGCTCTTTTAACCTATACTCTCTCTTTTCTTTTTTAATAAATCTTAGTTTACTTAATAAGAATTGGCTGTAAGAATGTATTTGGGTAAGACCTGAAATATTCATTGACTTGGCAGGTAATGTGTCCAATCCTTTGGGCTTGGTAGAACTTTTTATATGATGAATAAGATTTTCAGTAATCCTCATCATCTTTGACTGGGCTGTCTGGGTGGGAGCCCAGGGCTGGATGTGTTTGTGGCTTCTGAGTAACCAGGACGATGTTAGAGAAGCTGTTTTGTTGCTGGATTGGTGAATCTAATTATTAGAAATAACCTCCAGTTTGGGGGATCGTCTGCCCCATTCGTTGCAGTTTGCCCTGATTGAGCAATCTCAGTGTGGTCCCCCTGGCACCCTGGACATAAGGTGTCCGTGCATTCAGGCTGCCAGCCCCATCCTGGCTGCTTGGAGTGACTGAAGATCCAGCAGGCGGTGTGCCAAATTGTGCGTCTCTGCAGAAAGCTCCCCCTTTTCCGCACAGAGCTGGCGGGTGAGCTGCTGCCCCTGTGCCAGGCCTCGTTCACTGAACGAGGGAGATGCTCTGGTCAGCCACGGCAAACACGGGGTAGATAGGTGCAGTAAAGGCTTCACGGTGCGAGTGGAGGATGACACAGGCAGTAAGGTCGTAGAACAGCACTTCCCCCCCATCCAAGTCGACCAGGACACCCACCTGCGCGGGGCACTTGACTAGCTCCACCACCTGATGATGGCTGTTGTGCGAGAAGCGGAACTCCTTATCATAGCGCGAGAACACCCAGGAGAAGGGGTTGTAGCCCAGCCGGGCTGCGTTGCCAGCCCCTTTGCGCTGCAAGGAGCCATAAGAAATGCCCAATTTGTACGCGCAGCTTTTGTCCACGCTGATCCTCCAGGCGTGGGTCCCTTTGTGGAAGGCCTTATTGCCCAAGGCATTGGGCCAGTGATCGAAGCGCTCGGGGCAGTCTGGATAGGGCTTTGTCTTCTTGGGGCTGAATGCCAAGGTTTTCTTGTCTTCAGACAGGGCCAGCAGAGGGCTGACAGTTTTCTCATCTACGTGAACCTCTTCCAAACCTGCGAGGGAAGCCAAACAATCAGTACAGGCTGAGCAGCGGGACCTCGGCCAGGATCAGCCTGTCTCCCCCAGCAGCACTGGGCCAGGGAGGGAGCTGGGCTCATGTCCACATTTCCCCTTTTTATAGGCCTTCCTAGGCAGTAGCCCTGTGAAGTGGCCACGCGGCTTCCTCTGGCGCCCAGCAGCAGCACCTTCCAGGGTCGGCAGGCCCGCTCCCTGGGGAGGGGGCTCCCTGCATGCTGGGGAAGGGGCTGAGCTCAGACTGGACTCTGCCTGCACAAGTTGGATGTACCCCAGATAGTCCCACTGGGCACTGGCTCCAGGGGTCTCCCAGCTGTAGCCTGCAGTAGGTCCCGACTGGCTCCCTCCATCCCATCCATTATGAGCCATCTCCCCTGCGCAGTGCTCGCCCACCCTGCTGCCGGGACACAGAGGTTGGAGTGGCTCTGTGCTGAGGGTGGCTGGTGAGCGGGATGCCTCAGGCTCTCAGCACATTGCAGATGGAGCAGGGGCAGGGCAAGGCATGAGAGACCTCTGCCTTGGTCCCAGGGGTAGTACTCAGTGGGGACCAGGGCAGCACGGCCACAGGGCTGGCAGCTTTGGCCAAACCTGTTTCCAAGCAGGGAGGAGGCAGGTGCATTCACAAGCCACCACCCATCCACAGCTACCACCTGGCTTCCATCTGACCCCCCTCCCAACCTGATACAGAAGATCCAGCTGGTCGAGTGGGCTTCCTGGCTGGGCTGGTGCCAGGGCAGCCTCCTTCCCCTTTCAAACAAGAAGTGTAATATGGTGCAGAACACCATCCAACACCTGAGGTTCCCCCCAGGCCCACTCGTGACTAGGCTCCTGGCCACTGGGCTCCCCACGATGAAGGCAGGGGCTGCATGTGGCCCTGAGGGGACACTTTCCCCACCCAGTTCTGGAAGCGCTGGTTTCCACTTGGTGCAGATCCAGATGTAGGCGCAGTTCCCTGCCCTGGCTCTTGGCAGCCCAGAATGCAGTGGGGGATGAATGGTTGATTTGGGCCCAGTGGCGGGAAGATTAGCAAACCAGACAAGTACTCAGCTCTGATGGAGGGGAGGCAGGGGGCACAGGGGGGATCTTGGCCCTACTCCCAGTGTGCAGGAGCCCATTCCTAGCCCAGCCAGCCACCCCGTTGGTGTAGACTCCCCCATTGCTGCAATCCTCGACTGAGACAGAGGATCCTGGGTCCCTTCTGGCTGGGATCTCTCTACCTGTCACCACGGCTGATGACCAGTGGCACCAGAACCGCGGGAGAGGCTAGGGAGCCATAGCCAGTGTTCCCTCTAATTTTTCCCACCCATGTGCGGAATGAATTTTATGTGCTCCAATATGGAGGTGATGCACATCACCTTCATATTGGGGCACATACAAAAATTCATGTGGTGAGGGTGGGGCTGAGGGGTTCAGAGTGTGGAGGGGGCTCAGGGCTGGAGCAGAGAATTGCGGTGCAGGGGGGTGCGGCCGCGCAGCTTACAGGGAACTCAGGCCATAGCCTCCCCCACCCCTTTTTGAAAGTGGACGGACCTGGCCAGGGCAGACCCCGCCCCCTTCCCCTTCTCTCCCCCCCGAGGCCCCACTTCCCGGCCAGGCCAGCATGGAGCCCGGGCAGTTGTGGGAGCCATGCAGACCCTCCACCTACCCTCAGCGAGGCGTCCGGGGGGCGAAGACACAGGCCGCGGGCAGGCGGATCGTTTGCTGCACCTTTCCCAGTTGCCCGTGTGGCAATTATGGCTGGGCTGCAGCTCTGAGGCCCCGCCAGGGTTACCAAATTTCTAATAGCACAAAACTGAGCACCCTTGGCCTGCCCCTGCCCTGCCCCCTGCTTCGCCGAGTCCCTGCCCCCGCTCACTCTATCCCCCATCCCCGTCGTTGACTCTCCCCCACCCTCCCTCACTCGCTCATTTTCACCAGGCTGGGTCGGGGGTTGGGGTGCGGGAGGGAGTGAGGGCTCCGGCTGGGGGTGTGGGCTCCAGGTTGGAGCCAGAAATGAGCCAGAAATGAGGGGTTTAGGGTGCGGGAGGAGGCTCCGGGCTGAGGCAGAGGGTTGGGGTGCAAGGGGGGTGTGGGGTCTGGGAAGGAGTTTGGGTGCAGGATGGGGCTCAGGGCAGGAATGCAGGAGGGAGTTTGGGTGTGGGAGGGGGCTCTAGACTGGAGAAGGGGGTTGGGGGTGCAGGAGAGGGTGAGGCTCTGAGTGCAGGCTCTGGGGTGGGGCCGGGAAAGAAGGGGGCTCAGGCCTGGGGCAGGAAGTTGGGTTGTCAGAGGGGATGCGGGCTCCATGGGGGAGTTAGGGTGCAGGAGAGGGATCAGGGCTGGGGCAGGGGGTTGGGGTGTGGGGTGCGGGCAGCACTTATCTCGGGGGGCTCACAGGAAGTGGCGACATGTTCCTCCCACTCCTAGGCAGAGCCACGGCCAGGCGGCTGTGTGGTGTGCACTCATTGCCTCCAACCGCAGGCACCACCCCCGCAGTTCCCATTGGCCATGGTTCCCGGCCAATGGGAGCTGCAGAGCCGGTGTTCGGGGCGGGGCAGCGTGCAGAGCCCCCATGGCCGTCCCTCCGCCTAGCAGCCGAGGGATATGTCGCTGCTTCCGGGGAGCTGCATGGAGTCGCGTAAGGAGCCTGCCAGCCCCGCCAATCACACTTTTAACAGCCCAGTCAGCGGTGCTGACAAGAGCCGCCAAGATCCCTTTTCGGCCGGGTGTTCTGGTCAAAAACCGGACACCTGGCAACCCTAGGACCGCCCGGAGCCGGGTCAGGGAGAGCCGCGCAGGCAGCTGTGGTGAGTCTGGGTCCCTCCCCCTGTGCTGGGCAGGAGACCTGGGGGGCAGGAATATGGGCAGGGGGCTGCTTTCGGCCCCACCTCACCCAGGTTGGGATGCGGGGGGCCAGGCTCTGCTTCTGGCTTGGCCGGGGGCGGAGTCTCCAGGGGAAGAGGAGTGGGGGGCGGGCCCATGGGGGGGAAGGGGAGGGGCCTCAGGGGCAGGGGCCCCCGGCCTTTCCACTTTTGGGAAGGCTCCAACACCCTTGCTGATGATCCTGCCCTGCCTGGGGTATCCGGCACCATATCCCTCCCCCCAGCTCCAGTGCAGGATGTTCCCTCCATGCAGCCCATCCTCAGCTGATCTGCACTGGGATACAGCGAGTCACCTCCTCCCACGCAGACATGCAGGGCTGGGCTGGGCTGCACTGGGATACAGCGAGTCACCTCCTCCCCCGCAGACATGCAGGGCTGGGCTGCACTGGGATACAGCGAGTCCCCTCCTCCCACGCAGACATGCAGGGCTGGGCTGGGCTGCACCGGGATACAGCGAGTCACCTCCCCCCACGCAGACATGCAGGGCTGGGCTGGGCTGCACTGGGATACAGCGAGTCCCCTTCCCCCACGCAGACATGCAGGGCTGGGCTGGGCTGCACCGGGATACAGCGAGTCACCTCCCCCACGCAGACATGCAGGGCTGGGCTGGGCTGCACTGGGATACAGCGAGTCACCTCCCCCCACGCAGACATGCAGGGCTGGGCTGGGCTGCACTGGGATACAGCGAGTCCCCTCCCCCCACGCAGACACGCAGGGCCGGGCTGCGCTGCACCGGGATACAGCGAGT